TCATCACATAATGTTGATCAAAGCAGACTGATGAGGACTTGTTAAGGAAGAAGCTGAGAAATATATTTGTGAGAAAGAATGATTTTCGGTTTACTAGTTATCAGAAGTTACAGCTTACTCCCAGATTATAATTTCACACTAGATTGATGCTTCTCAAACTTGACTGAATAGTAGAATCACCTGGGAACTTATAAAATATAGTCATGGACTCCAGTTCTGAAGATTCTAATTTAAAAGGGCCAGATGGTGGGAAAGAGGGTGCATGAAAGGGGTGAATGTTTATTTTTTTTTATACTCCTTGGATGATTGTGATACCTAGCAAGGTTTGAGGGATTCCTGATTCTGCTTTCTAGATTGTTATACACTGTTAAAAGTTGGTAGTCAGACCTGGAATCTTTTCTTTTTACTTATCAAGGTGTCTCACTTTGTCACCCAGGCTGGAATGCAGTGGTGTTATCATAGCTTACTGCAACCTTGAACTGCAGGGCTCAAGTGATCCTTCTGCCTCGGTCTCTCCAGTATAGACACATGCTACCACACCTGACTAATTCTTTATCTTTTTGCAGAGATAGGGTCTTGCTATGTTCCCAGGCTGGTTTCAAACTCCAGGCCTCAAAGCAATCCTCCTGCCTAGGCCTCCCAAAGTGCTGAAGTTACGGATGTGAGCCACTACTCCTGGCCAGACCTGGAATCTTAATTCATAATCTGCCACTCATCTATCACTTTCCTCGTAGGTGAAAGGAAGTTAGATCCCTCTCCTGCAGCACGTGTGAGCATTAAGTAAAATAATGTAGGCCGTGTATACAGCACAGTCCCTAGCACATGGCATCACCTAGCATATAATAAATGCTAATTCCCTTCTCTCTTTTGCTTAAATTAAAGCTTTCTTTGATATTTAAAAAAATTGAATGCTGAGCCCAAATCCACACGATTCTAGCAGTGCTACTTCAAGGTTTAAGAAAGTCTTATTTCTATTACACCTTTTTCTCCAGCCTCTGGCAGGGATGCCCGAATACTAAAGTAGGTATCTACAACTTTTTATTGATTCAGAAATCTAAACATCAAAGCCAAGTTTGCTGGGGCAACCACAAGCACTGGATTGTGCCCAAAAGATAATGAAGTGCTCTGCTTCTAGACTGGCCTCTAGGCACTGCGACAGTGAGGGGATGGGTACTTTTGTGGCTCTCTTCTGAGTGTGTCCCACAGTGTCCTTGTGATTCAGTGCTGTGGTTTCATTTTAAGCCCAATTGTCACCTTATAGATAAAGGTAGCAGACTGCAGACGACATGCAATATTATCAAAGATACAGTGAAAACACAGAGGACTGGGAGTCAGAGGTCCTCGCTTTATCTGATCCTGCTGATTTCACTGACTCAGGCAACTCAGGCCACTTCTCTGAACCTCAGTCACCCCAAGTAAAAATAAAGGGATTTGGATTAGGTGATTTCCTGCTCATAAATGAAGCATATCTTTTTAATATTAGACTGTTTAAATAGTTTGAGATTTGGGAGACATTCTATCAGACCAAAAGGTAAATTTGGGTATTACTTCAAATCTGCTCTGAATCTCAAACTGTTGCCCTTTTGGACAGGATCCATTTCACAAGCAACCCATTCTCACCTAAGTGCTATGCTTCTCCCAAATTAACCCTTCAGAGGAGGAGGAAAGCCTGTATGCCCTTCTCACTGGTAGGCCACGAACCACAGTATTGTTTCGACAGTGTCTGACAGCTAATAATAGCCAAATATGTAAATTTTACTTAAATAACATACACAAGACTTCTTCTGAAAGCTAAACTTTGCAAAACAGTAAACCCAAACAACGGCATACCTCCCTCCTTACACCACATGGTCTTAGGGTCTTCTGTAATTTTCAGATCACTGACATTATCTCTCATTCACCTGTCACAGTAACTATGCGAGTCAGGCATTACCACTCTCGTTTTAGTGAGGGAGATACTGAAAGCTCTACGAGGTCAAGTGAGCTGTTCAAGGTTAAGTAGCAGACCTGGGCCTCCAAGCCCACCTGCTAACCCCACACTCTGTGGGATCTGCCACTCCGCCACAGCCACAGCTCTTACTGTATCCTCAATGTGCCTGACAGCACTGGAAAATGGCTCTCAGGGTTCTAAATCCCGGGGAACCAGTGAGGTTTTGTTTGTGGTTACTGAGCAAAGACCTGCTTTCTCAGACGCACATGGCAGGGATGCAGGTGGGGTTCTTCAGACTCTCTCCAATGCAAAGAAAATGTCTCAAATAACAGGACAGCATTACAGTCTTCAAGGCAAGAAAATGTTTACTCTTTGTCCCACCTGACTAAAACGTGCCAGAGAGGGAGACTACCAAACATACTGAGGGCCAGGTGGTGGGAAACAGGGTGGAGGGAAGGGGTCAATATTTATTTTTTTTTAAACTCCATAGATCGCCTCAGCTATCTGCATCTGTTCAAACAGCATGCCATCCACTCTACCTTAAGTGGCTCTTTTTCCATGACACAATGTGAAATACTGTGGAAACGATGAAGAGGGCGCAGAGGCCCATTCCATAAATCCATGCTGTTATCTTCTCCCAGCAGTCATCAGACAGCCGATGGAGGAGGGCACTGCCCACAATGGCCGGGACAATGAGGAACTGCAGGGAAGGCAAAGAGAAGTGAATAGACCACCCAGGCCTTTACAGAATCGAGACTTTTGCTACAAATACAGAGCTTTACCAGGGACAACCCGAGAAAAATAATTTCAAAGGAAATGTTTGCTTCTCCTGGGTAATCATAATGAGAGATGAAGTTGTTAGTTGTTACAGTGGAAGTAGGTACTGCTGCTCAGGGCCTGGGAATGTGCCAACCAGTGGGGACACAGATAAGCAGGCGGGACGCAATATTATTCAACTGTTGCAAAACAGATGTTCCTTATCCTAATTTCATGAAATAAAGATATATAATATGATTGGGAGTAGGCACTTAAAATATTCAAATATTGAGAATACATGCATATTTTCCACAGAGGTCCCCACTTTAAAATATTCTATCCTATTGTCTCCATAAACTACTCAAATCTCAGTATTTCAAGCAGAGCATAACTGAATGAATTAAGTTAACAAGTGTTATGATGTATTTGACATCACACACACACAACAAGTCAGTTGCTCGGGTCACACGTCCTGATTTTCAGTTTGCATCTGTACATTCCACCAAATTGGGAGCTGCTACTGTAGAGTAAAGGGGTTGGGGGAGTTCATTTCATTTTTAATAGCACCTTTTATGAAAGCAAGATTAGTCCACTCCCAAGGCCCATCTATTAAAAAAAAATTTTTTTTTTGAGACATCATCTCACTTTGTCACCCTCAGAGTGCTGTGTTATCATAGCTCATAGCAGCTTTCACAGCTCACAGCAACCTCAAATTTTGGGGCTCAAGTGACCCTCCTGCCTCAGCCTCCCGAGTAGCTGGGACTACAGGTGCTTGCCACGACGCCCGGCTATTTTTAAAGATGGGGTCTCACGCTTGTTCAGGCCATTCTTTAACTCCTGAGCTCAGTCAATTTACCTGCCTTGACCTCCCAGAGTACTAGGATTACAGGCATGAGCCACCACACCTGCCCTCTAGTCAAAAATTTTTAAGAGATGGCATCTTGGGGAGAATTTTGATTTCTGCACCATATTTCATAGTCATGTGAATATGATTATGACTAGTAAATATTTTATAGTAACAGAAATTCCCAAGAGAATAAATGCTGTTTATTCTTAGGTATTAGAATGAGCATACTTCACGCAGAACGCAAACTTCAGCCATCTGCCTATCTTCTCACCCCTCCCCCTAATACCTACTATTGCACTCTGGAATAGAATAGTAAATCCCCCATGTAAGAGCAGCATAACTCTTCAGACGCTAAAGTTTTCATTGGCCAAGAGAAAGATGAGAAAAGTAAAAGCAATAAAGTAAATTTTTCATAAAACAAAACAGACTTGATTGAAGGGAATGTCCTTTATTTTGAGATTATATCCTTATTACTTTGTTCATGTTAAAGTATCCTCTCTTTAATGAGAGGATGGGGACAGAAGTGTTCTGACTTGTCTCTGAAATCCACAAATCCAGGATACAGTTTAATAGGATTACATTTTCTGTTCTGAAAAATTAACATGGAAGCTTTGTCAGTTTTTCCTCAACTACAGTTTATAGAAGTGTTCCTGTGACACATATTCAGAAGAGATAAGTTAAGGATTGTTCAGGTTTATCCAAAGCAAATAGTATTCCTGGAGGTAAGCTGTGCTGCTCCATGTCTAAACCATGCCTAGAATAGCTAAACCAGTCTGCTGTAAACACTATTCATTAAAGGAGTAAATTGGCT